AGGGTGCCAGAGCACTGGAATGGGCTGCCCAGAGAGGTTGTGGGGTCTCCTTCTCTGGAGACAGTCAAAACCCACCTGGATGTGCTCCTGTCCAACCTGCTCTGGGTGAACCTGCTCTGGCAGGGGAGTTGGACTGGATGATCTCCAAAGGTCCCTTCCAACCCTGACCATTCTGTGATTCTGTACTATGTGTGTACTACTGTGAATGTGTTTGAAAAAAAAAAACAAAACAAAAACATGCACTTACCAGATTTAGGCACAAGAAATAGAAGATCTGCCTAGAATCATACTCTTCAAGGATTTGTTTCAGTGACTCCTTAATAAAGCGGGGTAACGACTGAGAGCTCTGCTGTAATGCGTCACCCATGAAGTTATAGAGAGGAGTGCCTTCAGGAGAATAGCCAATAAGTGTACCCTTTTGCCCTTTCCTGGAGGGGGAGGACAGGATATTGGCAGCTGCAAGGAAAGTATTGAAGTTTTTGTTGCTGTTTCTAAGCTTCACAGCTATTTTATAATTGTGTTTTATCATCAATCAAAGCTTACATGAAATTTGCAGGCAGCAAAGTGATCATTAACTTCATCTTGATGTCTATCATTAGATTTCATTGCTATGTAAGATTAGATCATCACTTCCATAACACAACAAATCTATCACACACTTTTTCTTTGTAGACAGACAGTAAAAGAGCACAAAGTTACAGGCTCTTTTATTAAAAAGAATCCATAAAAGCTCATCCAAAAGAATTTTGTGCACATCCATTTTCTGATTGGCTTTCCAGTCACGCAGACAATAGATTCATGAAAAGCTAAGTAAGAATACGTACATAAAATGAAGAAGACAGCACTCACTACCACCCCTCCAGAAAGAACGTGCTCTGTGCTTTCATGGTGTGGTGGCTTGTTCATAGCTCGAAGCTGGTCTGTTATTGGATGTGTCCAAAAGTTGCCGAAAAGCAGGGCACTAATGAAAGTGAGAAAGGATCCATATCGAGCACACGTGGAAGCTTCCATCTTGACAGAGCATATGGACTCCACGTAGAAATCCAGGATCACAACAAAAAAGATGACTGTTATGAAAGGCATGATGAGGGAAGACCAAGACTCTACTTTACTCTGAAAGAAAAAGTACATTTCAAACAGGATTATTCGCCGTTGCATGTGATTGTATGCACAGCATTAAATCTAGTTCACTTTCATTACAGACGTTTTCAGCAATCTATCGTAACATAAATACCTCTATGCTTTAAATTCATCACATAAAACCAACATTCCAGCTGCAGGAAGATGCACACAGCTAATATGCACTACAGTACCTTATTATAAACACTTTCATGTGTTCAAAAGCAATCCCGTGTGCAATCCCATGTTTGCAATAGTCTACCCTAAGCCTAAGCATGCAGGCACAATGAACGAAATTACAGTAGCCTACTCCTCAGAAACAGAGGAGCCCTCTATACAGTCATTAATACTTGTGCAATGTTACTATATGAATCCAGGATACAATATCTGAGCTAGAAACATGAAATAAAGTTATCACACAGAAGAGGAAATTATGGGATCATGCAGATATACGTCAAAATGTAGAGAAAAAATTTCAAACAGAGCCACCTAGAAAAATACAGATGGCAACTTCAGTAATTTTACAGCTATTTTAAAGAAAATATTTAAAATGCACTTCACAAGCAGAATCATTACAAAAAATTATTTACTTTTATACTTGCTATCTTACCTCTGTTGTCAGGGAGAGAACAATGACCCATGGGCACAACAGAAGGACAGAAACAAGATGAGACAAAGCTTGAAGACGCTTGGCTCCACCTACATCTACAGACAGTTTTCGGGAAGCCATGTGAAAACCAACCTTACAGCACAATGCCAGCACCAGAAGCAGTACTCCTCCCTGCAAACACAGAGGGATCCTGTTAGCATTTCTTGAGAGCCCAACACCTCACTCCAAACAAAGTGACACTTAGAAGAAAAAAAGGTTAATGTGCTTTTCTGAACTCATCAACAAGAGCCAAAGACAGGATATCTCCTCTAATTGTTACTCTAGTTAAGACCAGTAATACAGCATACGTGGTTATACTTCAGCACTACTCACAACAGACTAATACAGCTTGAAGCGTAAAACTCTCAGTAGTGTTAATCAGCATACAACAGTGGTGAACTGGCAGTGAACAGCATACAAGGAGGAGTAAAAATACCACACAAAACTGGGTTTCCCATCTTCCACTGCTGAAAAAGTGTTGAAAGTATACATAAAACCCATAAGTGTCATGTCACCTTGCCCTCTAATCCTTTAATAACCTCTTCGTTCGCTCACCTTTAGCCGCACCATACCATAATTCTTCACAATATTGCCTTTCAAAATTGTTCTGTAAATGAATCACAAAATACACACGCAGCATCTCATCTCCCTTAGATCACACTTACTTTGCACACAATGCCAGTCTCTCTAGCGTTTGATTTTTATATGAATACTTTCTCAGCTGCTCCATACATTTTTTTCCCTTGTTTTTAGTCCTCAGTGCAGCCACTTTAGCAACAAGTCTGAGGTACATCAGACAGGTCAATCCCATACAGTAAGATTTCGATACTCAGTTATTCATTCCACCACTTACAATGGGAGTGTACTACCAAGAAATATCAGAATCTGTGTTTTCAAATACAAGTGTCTAATGTAAAGGAAATATTGGGGAAAGATAAAGAAGCAGCAACAAAAGACAGACCCCAAAAGTAAGCATGGAACGTACTGTCATGAACATTATGAACATCCAGAACACGGATGACACGGAGTACTTTATGATCATTTTAATGAGGCTTTTTAGGTTATACATTACAGCAAAATCCTTACCAGCTACCCCAGTTTGAAGAGTGTATGCTTTGGCTTGCTGTATGGAAGCAGCTCGTACCCAATCAAGACGTGAAAATTAGAGTGCTAGTTCAGTTTCACTATAGGGTGGGGAGGTTGAATGTTTTTGTTTTAATTTAGGTTTAGGATTAGCTCTGAGCTGCTGAAATTCTTACCTACAAAACTTAGATAAGTATTAACCTACTAAACCACAAGTTCTTTACCTTGTGATCTGCAACACCCAGGAAAGCGATGATTGTATACAGAACATGGGTAAGAGCACTGTCATGATGCCCCTCAGCTAAATAAAAATTAAGGAAGTTTCATTCATTTTTTTTTTTTAACCAAAGAACAGGTAGATGTAGCCTAAGGCCATAAGAAGCAGAAGTAAGCAAACTGAGATTTAGGGTTTATCAGATCCCCAAAATTCCGTAAAGGTGAAAATATTTCCACAGAAAACGAATAGTTAAAAATATTTTTTTTGGGGGGAGATAAAGAGCATTTTAAAACATGAGAACACAGTCACTGTTGAATACTACACAGCACTCATGACAAAGGATTTATGTTAATTTTGGCAACCTGACTTTGAAAAATACACTAAATAGCATTAAAAATTAGACTGATTTACACTAAAAAGCAATACAACAGTGAGTTGTCTAAAATATGGTCTGTATCTTTCCAGCTTCTATGCACAATCCAGCAAAGATTAAAATAATGATAGCTTTTGGGAAAACTACAAGAGGGCACTTTAACAATGCAGTCACTGAAAACTCAGTGGATTAATCGATACTATTACTGAAGGTACCATTTGCATCTGTAATTCCATGTTTTCATCCTTCTTGTTTACTTTCACCTTGTTTGTTTTTACTGCCCATCCTCAGGTGTACCACTTTTTTGTCAGTACACTTCACTATGTTGAGAAGACCCGCTGAAAACTTACTTTGGAGTCACTTCCAATTAACTCCATGGCTTTGAAAGCGTGCTACCTAGCTTCCACTTGCAGTTTAAAGTCCGTTGTTGTGTGAGCTACCGCAGGCTATTTCACATCGCTTCTCAGCTCAGCAGACAAACTTGAGAGGACCACATTTGCAAAAGCACGAAACAATCTTCCCTGATACACCAAACACGACTGCCAACCATTTACTGCTCACACTTAGGCTAAAGCCATTATGTCTAGAATTTCTAAAAAACCGAGAACTGACCAAAAAAGCTTTGAGCAATCCTACATGGTCTGATATGTGCAAACAGGCAGGGAGTCTTTAACTACAACTTAAAAATCTACAGCTGTACTGTAAGTTACCAACAAAGCAAGCAATGCCATTCACCCAGCTGTACGTATCAGTATTTAGATGCAGAAGTAAAATCTTAAGCTCAAATAGTCTTGAAAGGTAAGATACTTATAAAAACGATGCAAGCGTATTTACTTCAATGCATTCAAATTCACATTCCCTCTTCTCCAGTAATAACAGGCATTTGCTCTTACACCTAGCAAGAAAGGATACGATGTTCTGCTATTTTAGCCATGAGGTCATCATTATCAAAAAGTAGTAAGCAGATGACAGCTATGATGAAAAACGCAGCACCTCTTGTCTGTAAAAAACAAACAAACAAACAAAAACCAAACAAAAAACCTGAATATGCTTGCAGTATTTTGTAACAGATTAATGTAAAAAATCGAGGAAATCAGCCCTCTCCCTCCCCACTTCCTGATCAATGTCAGCATGGTTTAGTTCAGTAAGAAAAACATGAGGAAAAGATATCTTTTCTTTTTAAGTGATGCTGACAATATAGATTTCTTTTTTTCAGATCTACCAGGTAAGTCAGGACAAATCACCACTATGACAAGCTAGCAGCCTGTACCTTAAGAACTTTAAGTGTGACTGCTCCCTTCTTCATGTTGTGTTTCTGCCTGCCAGAATGCAAAGCTACTTAAGCCTGAGGATTTAATATTTTATAGCATCAAGGAGCTAAGAACAAGATCTAGGGGGCAAACTGTAGTATTTTGTCTGATGGGAAGTGAAGGCTAGAGCACTGTGCAGAGGTTCTGAGAAAGCAGAGCTGCGCAATGCCTTCCTGAGGAAGGGACAGAGGTAACTATGAAACCCCAGCTCCCACAGCTTTTACCACCCTGACTTAAAACACTGCAATTTTGCTGTTCGTCATATGGCAAAAGACTGACCTCTGCAGCTGAAAACCACTGTTACAATTTATCTTCTGAAGCCAAATACAGCTACAACATTCTTGTTACAGAGTGCCAGCTGAACTTCTCTTTACCACAGTTAACCTCACAATGCTGAAGCATTCAGAGGACAGGGTTATCACTCCCTTGTTCCTGCTGCCTTAGTCGTGTAGCTTAACTGCTGAGCGTGGCCCACCAAGATACACACTGACAACAAACCACTCGGAAGCTCGACACTGCCCTTTGGGTGGATGGCTGGAGTACAGATTTGTCTTCTAGGTGAAGAACTTCCTGCTGGATGCCCTAACCATCTCAACACGAGGGGGGTGATGGCAGAGTGTCAGAGCAGATGACTGTGCTCTAAAGCCAGCCTGAAAGTATTTAGGGGACTCCAGCAGCAGTTATGAGACAGAGATTTCAAAACCCCCAGCCTGAGGCAGCACCAAACCAGACTTCGTTACACAGCAAGTACTCTAGCCTCAGGTGTATGACATCATAAGGTATCTTCCTTCAACTATCACTGTTTTTGAGGTAAAGTGGCCAAGACTGCTTGGTGCTGGAATAAGCTCATACCATTTAGAGCTAACTTGGCACAGTTAGAAAACGCCTTGCAAAACTGTGTCTAATGGGACTCAGACAAAGGATGTTTCAGGTCCAGATCTCTGATTAAGTGGAAAACTGGGCCCAAGTATTCAGCATATATAGGGTCATGCTCTGCATTAAAGTACTTAGACAACTTTTTAGCAGAAATAACTAAGTATGTGAAAAGCTACAGACTCTGAAGAGGCTAGCGCAAGCATCTGGAGACTGTATTGCTGGATTTCTGTGCCTAAAGGCCAGGACCACTACCTGCAGGTATGTTCCTTTGTCAGTCTCAACCCAAAATCCCATTGCAAAGAATGCTGAAGTGCAAAACAACATTCTCAAGGTTCCTTTCTGTCTACAAACAGAAAAACTTTACAGATATCTCCTAGGGACAGCTTCACCCGCTGTTTCTCTCTTCATGTATTTACTGTTTCAAGTAGTACATCTTATCATTTCACCACTAATTAAACTAAAGAAAGCACAGCTTCTATGAACGTAGGTAAAAAACACTGTTTGTTCTGAGTGAAGAAGTGCTTGAATTTACAGCATTCAGTACTTTTTACATGTGGTAAAATAGATTTTGAAATACCTTAGCTGGTCCTCCACCTGAGCTTGTGAACAAGACACTAAGGAGTGATAGCACAACCACATCATTGTGCTCAAACAGCAACAATGTCCTGTAAGAAAGTGAAATAAACAGGTCTGCTTATGAGGAGTTCCCCTCACAAGCTTAATACATATTATTTCAGCTAAAATTCAGTGGCACAGCCGTCAAAGATTTATCCTGTGATTTCAACAGTGACCTTAATTCAAAAGGACAAATGAAAATCTATCTGCCATCAGCAGCAATAGATGTCGTTGCGGACAGCTAGATGTATCACAAAACAATTAAATGCCTAAATCAAGGATCAGATTAAAATTCCTCATTTATAGATTACTTTAAATTGTACTGTCTTCTAGTAGCACAAGAAGATCCTGATTTGCTCAACATGGAACTATGTTACTATTCCCATTACAGTATCTCTAAACCAGAGTTTCTGGCTCCCAGAAAAAAAGAGGTCCTGTTCTGCCATATTACAACCTGTTCATTGAGGTGTTGATGGTCTAGCAGTTTATGCAACCTCAGAACCTCTTAATTGTTGAAAATAAGAAATTCTAACTCGCACACTATCTTCTTCAGATGGCAAGGCCCAACTAACAAGCTATACTGACAACTTTCCAGAGCAGAATATGAAAGTAATAAACACTGTCAAGTTTACCAGATGCTTCTGCCATTCTCCGCAGAGCAATACAACCTGCTTGGGCCCCTGTTTTTGGTTCTGTTTGGGAAGACTGCTAGCATCCCGAAAAGTATTTCTTAAAGAAATCCTATTATTCTCAGGTATTCCTTCTCCTGTGTAGAGGATAAAACTTCAACTTCATAAAATGTATTATTCAAAGCTTTACCTTCCCCTCTCTAAGGAAAGATGCTTTCTAACACATTAACCTTCATTTTTGGAAATCTGCTGTTATTCTTGTAGTTACTCAATACTGCTAAGAAACAGCACAAGTGATTTTACTTGGAGTGTAAGCACTAATGCTACCCAATTACAGCACAGCACAGGCATATGACCAGATAAAGCAGTGCCCTGCAACAAATGCATAAATTGATTCCAGTCACCTGGCACAGGAATACAAACTGCTCTCACTACCTGTCAAACCACGGACTTCAAACAGTTAAATAAACAGCCGGGGTTACATAAATGAGACCAGGAAAACAATGAAAACTACAGTCAGTAAAACAGTCAGTAATCTTGTTGTATCACTCACATCAGTAGTTTAAACACTCTCAAGACTTTCACTGGCATCTTGTCAAAGAAAGAATGAAGAAAATTACAAGTTCTACAGAAAATTATACGTAGTTTTCCCCCAGCACAACAGAGTTCACAAGCGAAAAGCATAAAGATTCATTTAAAATTAAAAAAAATAAATCAAGAGGCTGGCATCACGGGCTGCTGGACAGAAAACAAAACCCAAAGAAGCAAGACAGGGAAAGATAACAAAAATTAGCTTAAAAAGAGAAGACTTTTTTTACAGTAAATATATATTTACCTCAGTGGTCCACAAAGAGTAAGGCCAAAAAACCACAAGAGTGAAATGATGCATCCCACAACAGCATGTTTAAAAATTTTGATCCACTGCAAAAGAAAGGTATTTAATTATAATTTTTTTCCACACTTTCAAAAAAACACCCTATTATTAACATTCTGTTAGCACACTAACTGTAAAAATAGATGGAAAAACATATGCTCTGCAAGTTCTGCAAAGTGTCGAGTATGATTATCTTCTTACCTACTTTCCCAGGCAACTAATGCTTGTTTGGACATGTTACGAGCCAGTTACTTCTTTTCTACCACAGTACTAGATTCTACAGTGTAGTCTGAGATTTCTTTTAACAAAAAGGCTGAAAAAATATCAAGTCCATTTATCTGCCAAAGATGCTGTTTATTTTGTAATCTACTGTATATACCTGATAAATGTGTACAGAACTAGATAAAACATCAAAGATAAAGAGACTAAGACCTTAGGTCTGAAAATGTTTATGCTTGTGTTAAATTCTTTCTTTGGGAAGCAGGTTATAATTCAGCTATTCAATACATCATCAACTGTAAATGCAAGTTGAAGAAAAGAAATTAATTTGTAAATACATTGAACAAGACAAAGTGCCTATCACAAACATCTTCAAAATCCCAATTTTAAAATTTTTTAGCAAAAGTGAAACCATAAATGGTGGTTATTTTCCTGAATACAAGTCAGGGATGCAATTTATTCCTGTTTGCACTTCAAAATTCTGCCATACACGTCTAATTATGACAGCAGCAGACATCTAGAACACTTCTGAGGCTATCCTTCAGACTCTCTCTGCTCAGCACACACACTGCTGACGCTGTGCAGAAATTCTGCGCAGAGTCACAGAAAATCAAGATGAATATGGGGCAGGTGAAGAAAATTTATTTCTTACGAAACAGCAGGTTCCAACCTGGCCCTATTCTCGGGATAGTGGGAACTCAACACAGCCCTGAGGAGCAGTTAGAGTACAACGCAGCAGGCAGACAGGACTCTTTTGGTGTGGCAGACGTGACTGTAGCACTTCTAAACTGTACAAGTCAGCTAAACAAACTAATTTTCTTTTTGAAAATTCAACCCTCAAAATTTGTATGGAGGCAAGGCCCAATCTGTTCAAGGCACTCTCAAAAGGAGATGAGAAAAGCTAAAAATGCTGATGTTTTTTTACAGCATGCTAGACACATAGTTACACACTTCTGGAAACTCCAACCACATTTTCCAAGCGGAGTAACCTTGGTTCCGCTTTGACTTTCGCCGAAAGCCACACTCTTAGGCATATCTACAAAGATGTGAGTCGCTATTACATACATCAACTCACCTGACGCTTGGTTACCACTTTTCCGGAAGAAAATGGCTTTTGAAACAAAACCATAAAAAATGCAGACCTGTTAAAAGGAGAAAGTACTATTAGCATATAAGCAGTCAGCTTTTTATTCAAACCAGCTCTAAATAACTGGATCTCTCCTACCAGGCTCAGTTTACAAAACAGCTTGCTCTACATTTTTCATTCAAGGCCACACTGGCCTCAATCACTTCTGTTTTCCCTGCTGCATTGGCAATACCAAGGCGATGACAGGTGAACCTCAGCTCTGGTCAACTTTGAATGCAAGTTCTTCAGAGAATGGCTAATGGCAAATCTACCCGTGATTCAAAAGAACCAAAATAACTGATCCCAGAGGTTTTGAGGAGGAATAGTACTACGGTTTTTATTAGCCACCCAAAGCCTTTTTCGTATGTGTAATGTCAAATACACAGTCTTGTTAGAAAACGATAAGAAACAGCATGCATTTTCCTCAACTGGGAACAAGAGTAAGTGATGGGGAAAACAGACTATGGTGCTTGGGAACATGCAAGTGGGAAGCCCAGGAATGTAAACAAATTTGAAAGAGAAGTAAAAAATGTGTTTCTAAATGTTCTAATTCTGCCAAGTTTATTACAGAAATGCTCTTCTACACCACAACAGGTAAATATGAAGCAGCATTGTGCCTGCTAAGGTTGCTTCTCTGTATTTGCTGTCAGTTTCTACACTTTTGCTCTCCATCAGGGAAAAATAGCAGTGGAGGCTCACAAGAACTACAGGAATACAAGCAAGCTTGTCTTCTACACCCTTCTTAAGAAAGTTTGGACACGCCTGAGCTTCCTGTGATCAGTACTGTTATAGTATGATTAATTTTGAAGTAGCAATAACACTGAGGTTTCTTGAGGGTAGAGAGGCCTTAAAGTGATGTGAATAGAGAGCCAGGCAATCACCCACCTTATGAAATTTAACAAGAGCAAGTGCCAGATTCTGCACATAGTATGAGGTAATCCTGGTTACAGTACTAACTGTGGAGTGAGAGGCTGGGAATAGCCCTGCGGAAAGAGATCTGCGGG